TAATGGTTTTAGGACTATTTCACTGATTGAGAGGAAAACAACAATCTTAGAAAGGTTTGCTTGGTTTAATTTATTACATGTATTTATATCCATTTCTTTTTTATCAATATTGTAACAGAGTAGTCGATATTTCCTTCGTTTTATCGCAAAAGGTTTATAAATTACATGTAAAGTTAAATTTTATTATACAATTATGGACTGTTTAGAAGGGAGACATCAATAATTATCAGGTTGTCACCCGAGGTCGCTTCCTGAAAAATATACAATTATCAATTAGATAGACCGGTCACGGTAGCCTAGTGGTAGAGCGTTCGCTTCGTGATCGGGAGAGCCGGGTTCGATTCTCGATCGCGGTGCCGCGTCATACCTTAGACGTAAACATAGGTAGTGACTGTTCCTTCGCCAAGTGCTCGGCATTAAAAGTGAAAGTCACAGGTCTTTCGGATATGACCATTAAAACGTAGGTCCCGTGTCACTGTAGGCGTTGGCACGATAAAGAACCCTCACTGCTCAATGGCCCTGAGTGCCGAGTATAGGTCTAAATTTGAAGCCCTTCACCGGCATCGGTGACGTCTCCATATGAGTGAAAAATTCTCAAGAGACGTAAAATAATATACAATCAATCAATCAATCAATTAGAGTAATCAAACATCTCAATTGTTTTCATCAACTCTGCTCCGATTCCATACTGTCAAAATATGTCAACAAGTAACTTTGACGTCATCGTTAGAATTTACCGTTTACCGATCAAGGATATTTAGCAATTGTACTTATAAATATCTCGCTTAAATCACTGTAGTTTCATTCAAAGGGCTACAACAAAGTTGTAACTTTACATGCTCGCTATTTCATTGTCATCTGAAGAGAGATAACAGATATCAACTTGCTAGTGAGGAAAACATCAAGAGTTGTCTTCCTGCACGTGACCTGCTCTAAACCAATCAGATTGACTGTGTAATTCTGAAGGAAAATATTTTAAGTTATACCCCTCGCAATGTAGCAATTTATAGATGACATTAGTACTGCTCGTAGCTTTCATTACGTCGTGCGAATCAGCCATCAAGCGGCAAGTCTCAGCCAAAATTAAACTTAAATGTCGTCCATGTGTAGATTTAAAGTAAGTAGTGGAGTGCGCACATATAGATCACGATTCAAATTTCGCGCCAATGACGTCATCACACTTTCGACCGATCAGAAGGCATCATTTGAATATTTGGTCACGTGACCTATCAAAGGAAAGGTCTGGACGAGAAGAAGTCACCCCGGGGGTGGTCTGGGGTCATCGAGTGCAAAATCAAAAAGTTACTCAAAAGGTATCGTGTGACATATTAAATGGAAGGTGTCATCGATGAGTAGAGGTAAGACTGGGGAAGGACCGGATTCATGAAGTTGAAAATAAAAATAATTACCCAAATTGTATCATGTAATACATCAAATGGATTTCCTCTAAGAGTAGAGTGAGGTCTGGGGTAGTCAAGTCCCCACCCCTCAACCTTTTGTTCCATCAATGATTAAATATCTCCTCATTAACAATTGTGAATAATAGAACTGCACATAATACACAAAGGGGATTCTTGTAGCCCTCACTGGGAGTTTTTCGTGACGTAAATAGGGAAACTACCTTCGTCTTCGTACACAAAGGTGACTACAGATTCTATTGAAAATTCATTTGAATAGAGATTTACTCGACCGAAATACTACAAGGTAGAGACATGTCTACGTCGACCTTGCAACGGAGGTATTCAGGTAGAAGCATGTCTCAATGAAGTTGGGCATTTAAATGCCTGCATTTAATTCAGTTAAAAGAAGGATACACCATAGGTTTTTTTAAAGATTTATTTAGAGATAGATTCATTCAATTGAAAAAAAAATTACAGGTAAGAACATATATATATATATATATATATATATATATATATATATATATATATATATATATATATATATATATATATATATATATATATATATATATATATATACACACCGTGACCAATTATAGCATGTTGAATGAAACATGTCTCAATGCATTAAAATGTCTGGTGTATTCACACACCGTAAATTGAAAGTCCATTATCCCCAACCGATTGTAACGATACAAGTACAAGCATGCGTGAAATTACATTGGTAAGAAAGGAAAGTGGAGTACAGTTGTGAAATTTTGTTATGTAAGCCCTTTCTTTATAATTACACCAAAATAAAGCGAATGTGATTAATTAATTGTACCCGATGTTTTTCCTTTACCCTTGAATGGTGTATTAATCATATATCTATAGAAATACATGTCTCAACACGTACACTCCATTTTGATCTTTCATCCGTCTTAAAGTACAATTCGTCCTAGTTTTTTTTTTTATAAGGGTATTACATGTATATAGCTAATCGCTCAAGTGAGACGGTCGTAAGGTTCGGCGCGACCTAAATTTTTACAGGGGGGAAAATAGAATAGCTAATCCTTCACTAGAGATACAGATGGTCGATTTTTATAAAAGAAACGACGTCAAAAGATGATAAAGAATAAAACTGTTGATGGAGACAATCAGAAAGGGTTCACGAAAGGTTAAAAATGAATTGAATGAGTGATTTTATGTGTGCAATGACCAGGATAGCCAATAGAATGAGCTCAATTGATATGATTCTATGGAAACAAAATATTATTTTCGGTATTCATGACATGTTACAATAGAGGGGTCTAGAACAGGAGGAATTAAAATTAATTAATACTTTTAGTGATCATAAAGTAATCAATCGTATCACTTGTTCACTTGTTTTTTTTTTGTTTGTTTGTTTCCATGACAACTTTAGAATAATATATAAAGGGAATCTAGATACTGGTGCGTCATAAATCAAACAGCACCCCAACGAGTAACACTGGGAAATTGACTCGGTTGCTATTTTATTCTTTGGAATTTCATTTATTTCTAAGGTAAGAAATTTATACACATACTTTTGACAAATATAAAATTGGAAAAGATAACGATTCTTCATTTTACACTTAATTTGATGAAATATGAAAGATATAAACTTTTTTATTTATTTTGTTGTATAGTATCATGACTCGATAGTGTTTACAAAATCTCGGTAGAGTAAGCAGGGAATTTACTACAAATCTCGTTCCCGCGTGACCGTTTAAAAATATTCAACCTATCAGAATTCTTAAAAGTGCCATTATATGTATCGTAAAATTCCGCCACCTTGTTTTAGAGAAAAAAATCTGTATTTACTAACAATGATTTAGAAATAAATTTCAAATAAAAACGAATCTATTATTATTGTATAGTACTTAATGACAAACCTTAAAAACAGGTACAACTGATACAGTTTACATAAAGATATTTGTTTATTACAGAATATGGAAGGTTACAGATGTGACGTTTGCGGGAAAAGGTTTGCAAGGGAGGATAATATTGCACAGCACAGATCTGTATCAATGTCCAGAGTGTCCTCAAGCCTTTACAACAGAGAATAATTTAGAATTACATAGCTATCATCGTCATGGTCAATCTGGAAGAGGGAAAAAGAGAACAAACGAATCTCCTCAATCCGGACCTTCAACGAAAAGACGAATTACCAAGATGGATGACCCTACAGAAAACTACAGAGTTACTCCTCTTGGTGAACAAAAAATGCGGAAATTTAACACCACGGCAAACAGATATCGAGTGAACTTCGAAGACCTGGAAATCAGGAATCTGCCTAATATTATACAAAGTCTGCGTCGCCTATTTTCCTCAGTGATAAAAGATTTGACAGGTATAGATAACATCAATGCCCATGGATGTTGCACTGTTAAAATAATTTTTTACACATCTTTCATAAGGTGGACAATAAAACATGCCTTCTCATGCAACATTTGTAATAAATGTCATATATCAGATCTTCAACCATTTAAATAAAATTAGGTAAAATTTCTAGCAATTGTTTTTAAAACAGTGTTCATGGACTCCAGAGACTTAATTCGCTTAGCTGTCCAGTGTCCGGAGCTGGATTACCCCATAAGTCTACCCTTCATGCGGGTTGCGCAGCTATCGGTGGATCGTCTTCTCACCGAAATAGAACGTGTGCTGCAGTCTTATGAGGAATTTGTCGTTGATCAGTCATTAGAGATTGAAGTGATCCACGTCAAACTGCCCTCTGGAAAAGGACATAAAAAAAAAATGCTACGTTGATCTTGAAAAGTCGCTGAAAGAAAAGAGAAGCTTCATCAAGATTATCAACAGAGACCATTTATGTTGTGCTAGAGCCATTGTGACGGCCAAAGCTAGAATTGACAAACATCCAAACTGGAATTCGATACGAACAGGTTTGACCTCATGTAATGCATACTATTCATTCGAAGAGAAAAGAGATTATCATATTCCATATGTTATGTTTTTTTCTGACATGTCCGACTATTTACCACTTGTTCATAAAATGAAATGCGTATCCTGAAATGTCTTCTCCTATGCATCAGGTAAAAGTATACAAAGAACCCTGGCCGAAGAATTACACAAAGTTGCTAATGTGCCTATACGGCAGTGCAATTTAGAGGACGTGAAGACCTTTCAGTCGGTGTTACCTGGATACCAGATCCACGTTCTTTCTAAAGATTGCTTTAACGCCATCGTGTACCAAGGACCGGAAGCCGATAAAAAGATCTACTCATATCACCACAACAATCATTATGCTGTGATCACTACGATGTCGGGGTTCATGAAAAGAAATTTTTTCTGCCAGAAATGCCAAAAAGGATATGACCACAAAGAAAAGCATGTCTGCAATGAACCATGTCATCATGCCACGAATGCCATGACGACCAATCAGAAGACTGGCAGTATTGTTCCACGTGCAATCGATATTTCAAGAACACGACCTGTTTCCAGCGACACGCCGAACTGACGTCCCAAGGCAATTCCACGTGTCATACGTACTATCGTTGCCGTAAGTGCTCCACCACAGTGAACAGAAACAAATCGAGACAACCGCACGTGTGTGGAAACAAATACTGTGACATTTGCAAAATGTTTATGTCCGAAGATCATGTGTGTTACATGAAGACCACAGAAGAGGAAGAAGAAACCAAGCTGTTGAAAAGAAAATGGAAGATCACGGTCGATGAAGGCGACGAACAACTCAAACAGTGGATATTTTTCGATTTTGAATGCACACAGGATGACATGATCCAGTGTGATGAGGGTTATTCTCCCCAGATATCCATAAAAATGTGGAAATTGTCATCGCAAAAACTGTCACTCAAATCCGTGCGAACAGGGCTTTGTTCCGAGGAAAATCACTTCTTGCAAAAATTGCAACCATTCGTCGTGTGGTTCATATCGACACCTGCCCAATTTATGTGTGGTTCATAAGGTGTGCGAAGAATGCATTGACGAAGACGAGATCAACGAGCATAGCTACTGTTCATTATGCCAATACAAGCAACACATTTTCAATGGTCCAAACACACGTGACGACTTCTGTAAATGGCTGTTCTCGGACGAAAACGAAGGAGCCAAAGTCTTCTGTCATAACTTTCGAGGGTACAATAGCTATCCCATCGTCAGTTACTTGTACGAGAACGCCATCTTGCCGGAGGTGATCATGAATGGGTCCAAATTCATGAGCATCGAGATACCTCATCTCAAAATGAAATTTCTGGATTCCATGAATTTCATACCCATGGCTCTCTCAAAGATGCCAAAGGCGTTTGATATACCTGAAGTCGCCAAGGGCTATTTTCCACATCTATACAATCGAAAAGAAAACCAAAGGGCTATCATGAATCACCTACCAGACGTACAGTTTTATAATGCAGATGGTATGATGCCTGATGATCGCACCAAGTTTCTCCAATGGTACGAAGAACATCAACACGATAGTTTTGATTTTCAGAAAGAAATAATAAAATATTGCCAGTCTGATGTCGATATTCTCAGGCGATGGTGTCTCAAATTCCGCGACATCTTCATGGACATGACGTCACGAGATGATCGGGACGGCTTTGACCCTTTCGAGCGCTGCATCACCATTGCCTCGGCTTGTAATCTGGTATTTCGCATTCTCTTTTTGGAAAAAGTCTATCGGCATTATACCACCCCAAGGGTATCGTCTGAAAGACAAACAATCCTTCAAGGCCATGCAGTGGATAAAATATCATGCTCATCAAACAGGTAGAGATCCAGCATGCAGGCAACATGGGAGAAAAAGTGATTGGACCATACAGAGTCGATGGATACTATGAAATAGGGGATCAGAAAGTAGTAATGGAATTCCATGGTGATTATTGGCACGGTAACCCCAAATGTTATTCTGCCAACACCCTCAATAAAGTTGTGGGAATGACCATGGGAGACCTCTATCAGAGAACCTTGGAAAAGAGAAGTTACTTGGAATCTTTGGGATATACTTACCTGCAGATGTGGGAGTCTGATTTTGATCGGGCCGTAGAGTCCACAGACAAAATGAAGTCTTTTATAGAGCACCTAGAGTTAACCTCGCCCTTACAACCTAGAGATGCATTTTTCGGCGGAAGAACCGAAGCCTTTAAACTGCATGCCCAGGCAAATGAAGACACCGATATCAAATATTTTGATGTGACTTCACTCTATCCCTTCATCAATAAAATGGACAAGATTCCATTGGGACGCCCCCAGATCGTGACTGAAAATTTTGATGTTCTTCAAAACTACGAAGGCCTCGTCAAATGCCGCATCCTTCCCCCAAAACATCTATACATGCCAGTTCTTCCATCGAAAATCAACAATAAGCTCCTGTTTGGCCTCTGTCGAACGTGCATGGAGAAACACATGCAGACCTGTGAGCACACCGATCGGGAAAGAATGATTACTGGAACCTGGGTCACCGATGAGGTCAAAAAAGCCGTAGAAATGGGTTACGTAATAGACAAGATTTTCGAAGTGTGGCATTTCGATCGTATATCACAGTACGATCCACTAGCAAAATCGGGCGGAGCATTCACTGACTACGTCAATACATTTCTCAAAATGAAGCAAGAGGCATCTGGTTGGCCAAAATGGTGTCAAACAGAAGAAGACAGACACAAGTACATAGAGGAATACCACCAAAGAGAAGGAATTCGTCTCGAATATCATAACATCGTATCGAACCCAGGTCTCAGAGCGCTGGCAAAACTTATGCTTTATAGTTTTTGGGGTAAATTTGGTCAGCGAGAAAACATGCCCAAAACAACGTACGTGACAGATCCCTGCGAATATTTCGATATGTTGACTAGCAATTACCAACAGGTCAAAGACGTCAGCTATGTGTCCGAAGAGATGGTACGACTCCACTGGGTCTTAAACGACGATTTTGTGGAGACCAATGGTCGATCGCAGCGTACACTACGGCCCAGGCCCGTCTAAAATTATACTCCTATCTGGAAAAATTAGGCGATCGGACTCTATATGCTGACACGGATTCGGTCATCTTACCGCACGGGCTGGGGAATTGTCGCCGCCTCTGGGTGATTACTTGGGGGATATGACAGACGAGACCCCCGGTAAGAAAATCCTTTCCTTTGTCACCGGCGGACCGAAAACTTATGCATATACCGCCCAAGACCAAGATGGGAAGATAAGTACCTGTTGCAAAAGTAAAGGTATCACACTGAATTACAAGAACAGTTTGGATATCAACTTTGATATCATCAGAAATATGATCACTTCCAGCGAAGCGTCTGTCGTCACGGTCCGGAACGATTACAAAATTGCCCGAGATTCCAAAACCACAGAAATCATCACCAGAAAGGAAAATAAAGACTACAAACTTGTTTTTGACAAAAGAGTCCTGCAAAGTGGATTGATATCTGTACCATACGGATATTTGAATGTATCATAGAGATTTTTCTTTGTACTTAGAATCTGTAATTTGTGTATGTTATGATTTCTTGTATCGAACAATGCTATTATGATAGTCCTTTTATTTCGATGTAATGGTAATATACTGGTATATTTGAATCTGTCATAGAGAGCTTACTTTGTACTCAGAAACTGTAATTTATGATGTTAAGATTTTTTGTATTGAGCAAATTCTTATGATAGTTCTTTTATCTCGATGTATTAGTAATGCACAGTTATATTAACTTACTTTGTACTCAAAAACTGCAATGTGAGTATGTTATGATTTATTGTATTGTAAAATGCTATGGTGAGAGTCTTTCTTTCTCGATGTATTGGTAATATACAGGTATATTTGGTTGTATCACAGATAACTTATTTTGTACTCAGAAACTGTAATATGAGTATCTTATGATCTCTTGTATCAAAGGATGCTATTATATCCTTCTATCTCGATGTATTGGTAACACACAGTTATGTATTTTTGATGTAGATTACATGTACAGTTTTTTGTATTAAAATGATGAAAACTTTTTTTATGTTTTTTTTAAGAGAAGTATCTTTGGGTAGGAAAAAAAGTGAAAATAGCGAACCATATCATGGCTTTTTATAGAGTCTTCTTCGACCGGTCACGGTAGGCTAGTGGTAGAGCGTTCGCTTCGTGATCGGGAGGCCCGGGTTCGATTCTCGATCTCGGCGCCGCGTCATACCTTGACGTTAAACATAGGTAGTGACTGTTCCTTCGCCAAGCGCTCGGCACTAGATGTGAAAGTCACGGGTCTTTCGGATATGACTTTAAAAATGTAGGTCCCGTGTCACGGTAGGCGTTGCACGATAAAGAACCCTCACTGCTCAATGGCCCTGAGTGCCGAGTATAGGTCTAACTTTAAAGCCCTTCATCAGCAGACAATAAAAAAATATCGAAAGGGAGTTAAACAATCAATCAATCGTTCACTTCCTGGGACAACAAGAATTAAACAAAAGACAAAGACATAGGCTCCCGGGGGCCCCGCCGCGGACCTTTGGGCTTCCGGATCCATACGTTTCCGGATCCCTGATATCCGGAGCTCATAAGTTTCCGGTGACCTTTCATTCCGGAATCCCAAGTTACCGGAAACGTTGATCTGGTTGTAATGCACAGTGTAATGAGCCAATCACCGACGGGATCTCGTCTATAAAAGGGGACTTACCTTTCATGTATGTCATTAAGCGAAAGGACTCCAAAGGATCAACGTGTATACTTGCCAAGATTGCTCAAAGGCTTACGTCTGGCCTCACGACCTGATTCGTCATGTTAAACACAAACACACGGAATGGCAACAACAACAGCAGCAGCAACAACAGCAGCAGCAGCAACAACAACAAAAGGAGTTTATGTTTCAACATCCTTTTACGGCTAATGTATCGGGACCCACCTCCTCGGGAAAGACGTATTTCATGAAAACATTGTTGCAACATTGTATGAGCAAGATTTCCCCTCCACCAGAGAGAATCTTGTGGCTCTATAAGCGATGGCAACCCCTGTATGACATCATCAAAGCCACGGTGAATCCCTCGGTCGAATCCATTAGACCTGGAGCAAGATTCTTCCGTTCACCCCGGAACGAGGAATCTCGTCATTTTAGACGATCTCATGTCGACGGCGGCCAAAGATTCTAGAGTCAACGAGTTGTTTACGGAGGGAAGTCATCACAGAAATCTATCGGTCGTGGCTATCAATCAAAATCTGTTTTATAACAAAGATCCCACCCAAAGACGAAATTGCCACTACCTGGTCCTGTTTAACAATCCTGTGGACAGACAGCAAGTCATGACCTTGGCTCGACAGATGTATCCCGAAAATCCTCAACACCTGCTGAGATATTTTAAAGACACTACTTCCAAGCCTTATGGATACCTGTTGGTGGATTTGAAGCCAACTACACCCGAAAATCTGCGCATGCGCACTGACGTCTTGAATCCTATAAAACAGCACGAAGCAGAGAATTCTCCTCATTCGCCAACAGCTATTCCTACCGAGCGGACGTACCACAGACCGGTTCCTTCAACCTTCCAATCCATTGATGTCTTGAATCCTATTAAACAGCCGGGAGCAGAGAATTTCCCTCATTCTCTGTTTGATATTCCAACCGATCGGACGTACCACGCATCGGTTCCTTCAACGGACCAATCCATTGGGTCGGATTTTCAACACGTCATACCTACAGAAGATATGCCTTCCTTTGACGATTGTAGTCTGGTCTTTGAAAACGTCCACGACCTTCAAAGACATGTGAAAAGATAGTGTCCCGAAAACGGACAAAGGAAAGATGATATTGCCCCCATGGAGATGGATAAGGCAAAAGCCCCCCCTTTCAAACCAGGGAAGGAAAATGATGACGAACACGAAGTCTTTAACTTTCTCCTGGAAAGGGCAAAAGAAGACAACGAAAAACTATAGGACCTGAAATATGATAAATACATAAAGGAAGGTCTATCAAGAGAAGACGCCAGAGTTCAAACGGAGGAAAAAATGGGCTCAAAAGACCTGAAGAAATTCTCAGAAAAGTATGGACAACTCATCCTGTACATCCTACAGTTACAAAACGGATCCATTCACACCAAGGTCATGGATGATGTTAAAGATTTCCTGTCCGAAGGCTATGGCGAACGCAGAGCCATCAGAATGGCTTTGAATAAGAATCGTCCTGTCCTTGAAGAAATGTGGGATCCTGAGAGTGATACGGAGATCGACGATGCTTTCGAAAGCGAAGACCAAGAGAGAGAGAATGACGATAGCGAGATGGAAGAAGATAGTGATGAATCCTAAGATGTCTAAATAACATTTTAAGTCTTTGTCCATTTATTGTTTGAAAAATGAACTATCGAATGTATATTGTTGCATTTACTTGAATAAACAGTGAAAAAAACAGTATTGTTATTTATGTCATCATAAGTCACGTGATTAGGTATTTTAATAGGGGTTAGGGTACATTGAAGCTTCATTTTAACGTTGTCCATGCCAGAAGAAACATGTCTTGGGAGGATTATCTCAAGCAAGTGTATTACGATCCATCCACAGCTGGTAGTTTTACCGGAGTGGATAAATTATTCAGATACGTTCAAAAAGAGGGAAAATATGATATCAGCAAGTATAAGGTACGCAAATGGTTACAGAGACAAGAACCTTACAGTCTTCAGCGACCCTTGAGACGACATTATCGTCGCAATCAGGTCGTCGTCGCTGGCCTTGATGATCAATGGGACGCTGATCTCATGGACATGACCAAATTCAGCAAAGAAAATGAGGGTGTGCAGTTCGTACACTAGGTCATCGATATCTTCTCCAAGTACCTGTGGATGCGACCTTTAAAGGATAAGAAAGGGCCAACGACAGCCCGGGCGTTCGAAGACGTATTGCGTGAGGGGAGGCAACCTACGAAGCTTCGCACAGACAAAGGACAAGAATTCCGATCAAAAGCCTTCAATAATGTATTAAAGGATCACAACATCGAACATTTTTATTCTCAAAACACCGAAGTGAAAGCAAACTATGCAGAGAGAGCCATCAAGACGATTAAAAATAAGATGTATCGTTACATGACATTCAAACAATCCGAACGATACATTGACCGTCTTCAGGAATTCGCTCGGAGTTACAACAAGACAAGGATACGTTTAAGATTGAAAAGATCCTCAAGACCCGTGGAAGAGGACCAAACAAACAATATTTTGTAAAATGGCTGCATTGGCCAAAGAAGTGTAATTCTTGGATAAATGCTGATGATATGGCTGCATAATTTAGTGCAATTATCATTGCTTACCTTGAAATTATATGTATTCAGACTTTTGTAGAAAATATTGCTCTTCATGTCTTGCAATAAAATATGAACAAAAACAATGTGTTGTTTTGATCATCCCCCGACTGATCTTTACTCGTCGACACCTTAAATTTGATATGTATTTTTAATTTGCATTTGATGAGCCCGATAGACCCCTGGGCTGAACATTACCCGTCAAGACCTTCCATTTGATAGGTCACAATAAACCCTTTGAGTTACCTTTTGATTTTGCACTCGATGACCCCAGAACACACCCCGGCTGAACTGTACTCGTCGAGACCTTCCATTTGATATGTCACACGATACCCTTTGGGTAACTTTTTATTTTGCACTTGATGACCCCTGACCACCCCCGGGCTGAACTCTACGCGTTGAGACCTTCTATTTAATATGTCACACGATACCCTTTGGATAATTTTTGATTTTGCACTTAATGACCCCGGACCACCCCCGGGATGACCTCTCCTCGTCAAGTCCTTCCATTTGATATATCAAACGATACCTTTTAAGTAGCTTTGATTTTGCACTTAATGACCCCGGACCACCCCCGGGATGACCTCTTCTCGTTCAGACCTTTCCTTTGATAGGTCACGTGACCAAATATTCAAATGATGCCTTCTGATTGGTCGAAAGTTTGATGACGTCATTGGCGCGAAATTTGAATCGTGATCTATATGCGCGCCCTCCACTACTAAAGTATATTAC